TTTTTTTTTTTTTTTTTTTTTTTTTTGATGATATAGAGAAAAAGGGGGATTTGGAATTTTTGTGTGTAGTTGATGCCAGTTGGTGGATAAATGGTAGCCATTCAACACCAAGAGATAATAAAAATTAGAGAAAAGAGTGCAAATTTGAGATAAATTATGAAAGTTTTGTGTGTGTGGAGAGAAAAGTCAATAGGGGCAAATATGTGTAAAGAGCTTGAGATTGATTAAAATTTTAAAACAACAATGCTCAAGCCAAAAGTACTCAATAACTTGGGCTTTTTTGAAAACCACTACTCCATGGGTAGAGATGTCCACGAGATGTAGACTAAGGGTGTTCATGGGATAGATTGGATTGAGTTGAGACATTTTTTGCCACTTCACGATTAGAGATATCCACGAGACCGAGACTAAGGGTGTTCAGGAAATAGGTTAGATAGGGTTGAGACATTTTTTTTCTACTCCATGGTTAGAGATGTCCATGGGACGGAGACTAGGAGTGTTCATGGGATAGGTTAGATCAGGTTGAGACATTTTTTTTCTACTCCATAGTTATATATGTCCACCTGACGAAGAATAAGGATGTTCAAGGAATAGGTTGAATCAAGTTTGAACATTTTTTAGACTTAACATAATTGTTCGGTTTGTAAACAACCTAACAACATTGATTAAATAATAAACAACCGAATCTGGTTTGGGTTATTTAGGTCATTTATTTAAATTTTTATTTTTAATAAAAGTAAAATGTTATTTCGTAAAATATTTATATTCTAACATTTAATTAAAATTTATAACTCAATATATTGGCTCAAAAATACCTTCTAAATAGTTAAAAAATACTGGTTAGAGAATAAATAATAATAAATATTGTATATATAACTTTATCAAACAAAAATGTATAATATTATATATATAACTTTATCAAACAAAAAGTATATTTTAAAATTTATTGATTTGATTCAACTAATGAATCAACTAAATCCATAAACCCAACCAAAATAAATTTATATCCCATCCCAAACTGTACGAGGTGGGTTGTGTTGATAGGGTTAGTCGATTCATAAGATTTTTTGAACATCCTAAGGGGGACAGCTTCTCTATCCCCATCCCAACCTCTTATTTCAATCTTTATCCTCGCAAAATTCTCTATTTATTTTCTTGGGGAGAGGGGTCAAGAGATTTTCGGTAGGAAATTTCTCCCCGGGTTGGGTTGATCGGGTTAGTCGGTTCATAAGACTTTTTGAACATCCTAAGGGGGACAGCTTCTCCATCCCCATCCCAACCTCTTATTTCAATCTTTATCCTCATAAAATTCTCCATCTATTTTTTTTTCTCCATCCCCATCCCAACCTCTTATTTCAATCTTTATCCTCATAAAATTCTCCATCTATTTTTTTGAGAAGAGGGGTCGAGAGATTTTCAGTAGGAAATTTCTCCCCACCTCTATAAATAGAGAACGAAGAGAATTCTCTCTCTATTCTCCTCTACATTCTCGGGCTAAAGAGGGATTCCTATCCTACCTTTTAAGTCATTAAATGAATCTTATTTTCAAGATTTAGCACTAATAGNTTCTCCATCCCCATCCCAACCTCTTATTTCAATCTTTATCCTCATAAAATTCTCCATCTATTTTTTTTGGGAAGAGGGGTCGAGAGATTTTCAGTAGGAAATTTCTCCCCACCTCTATAAATAGAGAACGAAGAGAATTCTCTCTCTATTCTCCTCTACATTCTCGGGCTAAAGAGGGATTCCTATCCTACCTTTTAAAGAGAATTCTCTCTCTATTCTCCTCTACATTCTCGGGCTAAAGAGGGATTCCTATCCTACCTTTTAAGTCATTAAATGAATCTTATTTTCAAGATTTAGCACTAATAGTTTAAGAGCAATAAATATTAAGGCATGCAAAACAGAAGAATTTGAAACATCTTGTATTTACCTCGATTTTGTAGATTACTGTGTTGGGAGAAGCTTTGATGCAGCAGAAAAGTTTGATGTGTTCATCAGTGTTGTTGTTCAAACAACATGCAGAAATAAGAGCTCCATAAGTATCTCATTCAGCAACTCATTAGCTTTTTCTGATTTGTTCTTCCACATCAAACTGTAATAACCAACACATCAGTATAGCATTCAGCTTAGGACATCATCAAAGTAATACTCCATTGCTTTAACAATCTTATTGACTTATCTTGTAAGTTGGAAAGGAAGGAATTCAACTCAAACTCACTGCTAGTAGATATTATCCACTTTGATCCGTTACACAATAGTAGTAGGTCCAGTTATTGGACGGTGCGAGACACTTATTGGAGTAGGGCTAAACCCTTTATACAGTAGACGCGTTTATTGTGAGATCCCACGTTGGTTGGAGAAGGGAACGAAACATTCCTTATAAGGGTGGAAACTTCTCCCTAAAAGACGTAAGGGGAAGCCCGGAAAGGAAAGCTCAAAGAGGACAATATCTGCTAGCGGTGGGCTTGAGCTGTTACAAATGGTATCAAAGTCAGTCACCAGACGGTGCAAGACATTGGGTGGAGTAGGGCTAGACAGTCTCCATAGCAGACGCGTTTTAAACCCGTGAGACTGATGACGATACATAACAGGCCAAAACAGATAATATCTGCTAGCAATGGGTTTGAGCGGTTACATTTCACGACTTACTTTGCCATACAATTATGACTAGTCCAACAATTTCCAGAATGCTATTGTCATGATGTTGATCCGGCTTCCGTAACTACAACATCTACATAGCTTTGAATTCGCACATTGGAGTTCTTCGTATTAGAGTTCTTCATTCAATATCCTGAGTCACTCTGTTGTAAACCATTGTTTCATCCTGGGGTGACTTATTTCTAACACCCCCTTTGCACGTTCCATCAACTAAAGTACTGAGGGTGATTACATTTGGCACATCTTGTTCATTGACCATCTGATTAAAGAGCTCATAGGCTCTTTCAATGTCACCTGCATTAACAGTATCCATCAATCAAGCAATTGTAGGTAACAATATTGGGTGCAGAACCAACAGACCTCATCATTCCCTTCAAGTACAATCCTTCTTTTTGCCTCCCCACCTTATAATAAGCCCCCATCAATCAGGAATAACAGCCTAGGCCTCCTCCTTTTCCCCCTTCCTTTTCTCAAACACCTTCAATGCATCATCAATCCTTATGAACTTACATAAATGATTGATAAGAATAACCAAAAGTTATAAGACCATTTTGATTTCATAAAACCACCTAAAACATTCTACGCAGGATCTGTATTTCTAAACCTACAAAGCTTGAAGATCAAGAACGTTAATGTAATGCAATTAAGAACAACATTGTGTTTATCAAATTTAGCTACGTAGCCAGCAATTTCATCTTTCCATCTATTTTCAACAATTTGGTGAAAACAATATCAGCAGTTATGTAGTTGGGTTGAAACTCCAAACCTGGAAGAAGCATTTCGTCGAACACATTCATTGCATCGTCAACCACGCCCAGATTTCAGTAGCAAATCAATGATCAAATCACGAACACAAGTGTTTTCGTATATGAAACGAGTTCAGAAATTACAGCTAACGCCGAAGAAACAGAACGGCGGCAGCGCTATTGAAAAAGAAATATATGAAATATATTTTTGGATATTCCTACTCCGTTAATATTTGAATAATATATTAGTTATAAAATATTTTTAAAAAAATATTTTTTTTTTCATTAAAATATATTTTATTTTATTCTCGAGAGTTTGTTTATTTTCTTTATTTGTAGGTATTAGTTGTAATAGTTATGAATATGATTGGAGATTAAATTTTCAATCCCAATTTTATTTCTGTTTAGTTTAATAATAATATTTTTAGATTTATTCACACTTTTGAATAATAGATATTGTGTATCAGATAAGTAAAGACAAACAAAAAAAATTATAACAAAATTTGAATTCGTCATAAATCTGGTCATGAATGTGTCAGAATTATGACGTCGCACGGTTGAAAATGTACGATCATGATAATTGATATCATAGCAATACTTTACGGTCTGTAGTTAGCCAAGAAAGTCATAAAATAACTCGAGATATATTGAAAATTCTATATTTATAGGTAAAATATAACTTTTAACTGTGGTAATTGCAGTAAAATACATTCTTTTACTTTAGATGCGCATATTACTTTTGTTATATGCGCAAAACCAAAAGGAAAACTAGAAGAAATGCTCTTTTCCTTATGCTTGCTTATTTCACAATTTTTTATTATTATAATTAGTATTACTTTTCTTTTTGGTTTTGAATCCAAATGTAACTTTTTTTTTTTTTAATAAAAAGTTTTTTTAACTTATTGTTTATTAAAGAATTTTTAAAAAAATATAATTCAATTACTCAACTCAAATCATAAAAGTTAACTTGGGTAAGATTTTTTTTACGTTTGGGTTGAAATGAATTTTTGGAAAACAAAAATTTGGTTCGGTTTGCGGGTTGATATTTAAAAAAAAAAAAATAGAGTTACAACCTTACCCTATCTTTTAAAAATATTAGGAATATTTAACATTTGTAACGTATGTTAGTAATGTGTTGTGACTTATAAATGTTAAAATTTTAGTTATTAACGTAACATGTGATTCGGGAAGAAGAAAAGGTAGCGAAGATAGCTTGCTTCTCTTCTCCTAGGCTATCACCACATGTGACGGGGGAAGAAAAGGCATCTAGCATTCTTCGCTTCTTGTTCTTGCCCAACTCTTTTGATTTGGTTATTATTTCCTAGAAAAGAGAAGAAGCTTCAGACTTTTTGGCCAAATTTTTCACGGAAGCAAATCGGTATATCTGATAACCTTAGATACATTCATTAAGCAATTGTTGGGCTTTATGCAAAAAGCGAGAAAGTACCTCGATTCAGTGGAGTAAGTTCCGTTGGGCATTCATTTTAGGTAGAAAGATAGACTGAGCTACAAGTTCCTATGCTATCAACAGAATCAGCTGTAGGAGATCTGTATTAACCTACCATTGGTAGCTTTCTCAGGGCTCGGTTGGAGAAGAAAGAAGGTCCGGGGCACTTTTTAAATAATAATAATAATAATAATTAAAAAAAAAAAAAAAAAACAATACCCAACCCAAACTGAAGCACTTACATTAAAAATAGATGGGATTTGAAAGCACTTATACATTAATCACTGTATCTAATAATGTAATGGCTCTACGTCCGGAAGAACCATATATGCTATCTACAAACTGAACTTTGGCCCTTAGTAGAGATCCCCTTTAGTGAAGAAGATACCACGATAGGAATCGCTTTCTTTCATCACAGCTTCCATTTCAAAGCACAAAAACAAAGAAAAATGGTTTAGTTTTGGTAACAACAATCCACAAAACTTTGGGACCTAACCTACCATACAAACAACTTCAAATCATCATAAGCTTTGCTATCTCTCTACTGCAGATGCTATGCGTTGTTTTCTTCCAAGAAGCTCATGTCATTGTTAATGGGGAAGTCCAGAAGCAGTTCTAATGCACTGTCTGATGACTCCTCGAACTCGTTCACACTCGATGAATCAGACTTCGACATCAGAATGTCAGCCATTGGTTTGAAGTTTTTGTATTCCGTTTCTTCATTTTCATTATTGCTGTACATGGTTGAGGAACCACCGGTGTAATCGACTCCGTTGTCGGTAGCGATGACGAAAACCGAGTCGTATTTAGTTGATGAGGATATGGGACTTTGGCTTTGGCATGTTGTTTTGTCTTCCCTGCACCTACGAAATGATTCACCAACTTCAGAGTTCCATATTTGAAGAAAAAAGTCAGAATCAGTTGTTCTTTCCGTGGGGAGGAGGGTGAAGAGTGATGATTCCTTTGAAAGTCGAGCTTCGGCTTCGAGCCGAGCACTCTCCCACTGTGCCATGTGGCGGGTGCTCGGTGATGCCGGTGCTGTAGAGAAGGAGCTGCGAGAGTTGAAGGGTTCATGTGTCTGAGGGTCAATGCCAGTGCAAAGAAGACGTTTCTTGAGGTGGGTGTTCCATAAGTTCTTGATTTCGTTATCTGTTCTTCCCGGTAGTTGAGAAGCAATAGCAGCCCACCTGCAAAGCGCTCGATCAGTACAATTCAAGGCTAAAACACGTTGAACAAAGTAGATGAGTCCGAGAATGATGACATTTTAAACCTGATTTTCAAAGAATCTCGAAACCTCAGTTAAAGCAAACATTTTAATATGAATGGCCTTCAGGTTTTACAAACTACCATTTAGAGTCAAGACTTAGCCTTGAGTTTTATTGGAAGTGGTTCCATTGGGCAAATACAGGCTAAACATCTTTCACTATAGCCGAAGGTCAGAAAGAAAGACCTCTAATGTTGTCTGAGAGAACTTTCGCTGGTAATGGCTCTATCTGAGAAAAGGGCAAGTGAAAGAGAGAGGGCTCGATGGTGACTGTGAAGGAGGGTGGACGTGGTGGCAGTCAGAACAAGAGAGGAAGAAGGGGGCAGAAACTGAGAATACGGACTCTGGAGTGTATTTTAGACGAAGAAAGAAAGAGGGGCAGAGACGGAGTGGGGTCTGCACCTTGTGGACTGGTTTGCTGTCGAACAAATGAGCACGAGTAAGAATATCTCGAACATATTTTAACCGACTAATAAAGAGACCATTAGGAATGTGTGAAGCTTCAAGACTAAGAACAAAAGCGACAGTTAGCAAAACATCAGACGAAAATGACAATTTTCTTTTAGGACACTTTTACTCATTATAGTTCTCTTCTTTGATTTTAGTTGGACATCTTTTTTTTTTTTTTGTAATGCACCTTTAGGTGTTGGAGGCTACGTTACTTTTTGTTTCATGTATCAATAAAATTGATTTCCTTCTCAAAAAACCAAAAATGACAAAATTTGTGAGATCACCCCTCTGGAGAGGAGAACGAAACATTTCTTATAAGGATATGAAAACATCTCCGTCGTAGACTCGTTTTAAAATTTTGAGGGAAAAGTCCAAAGAAAAAAATATCGGCTAGCAGTAGTCTAGTTACAAAATTCAAACTAATTGATAATTCGGATGCAATGAAAGAAAAGGTACCATAAACTTTAACAATCAAATCTATGATATTATTCAGGAAGAAAACAATGTAGTATTATCACCTGTTTCCGAGAATTCCATGGAGCTGAATAACAAGCTTCTCTTCCTCGGTGGTAAAGGGGCCACGTTTGATATCAGGTCTTAGATAGTTTGTCCACCTCAAACGGCAGCTCTTCCCACATCGTTGAAGACCTAAAAAAAACATATCATGTACAAAGACCATCCTTATCAAAGTGAGAGAGATAAAACAATGAAGAACGTAAGACAACAATTGTTCCCTTCCAAATGTGCAAGAAATTGTTGGTGTATCCTGTTTAAGAATAGAGCTGGGCTACTAACAGAGTAAGTATGGGCATAAAAAATGTCAGGTCCTGGTGACCATACTCGATATCTCATGGACTGCAGTGGAGGCTGTATCAGAAACTAAAGATAAATCAAAAGACTAGCTATTCTTATGCTATTGGATGGCTGAGGCAGGCATTCCTTGATAGAAAAAAAATTCGCAGAACTCTTTTGTCTAGTTTAGCATCATTTGTTGGCCACACAGAACGTTTATAGTAAAAAACAGATTACCAGTACAGAAATCTATAACGATGCCGGTGTTGAGGATTATTGGGGGAGGAGTCCTATTGACTAATTAAGGTGTTGACTCGGGGTTTATAAACAAGAAATACTATCTGTACAAGACTTTTTGAAGAAACCAAAAGCAAAATCATGAGAGATTATACTCAGAATGGACAATATCATATCATTGTGAAGATTCATCATTCCTAATAATGTATTAGAGTTGTGCCCTTAACTTAATCATGTCAATAGAATCCTTAAATGTCGAACAAAGAACCCGTGAACCTCAAAGTTATAGTCAAAAGTGACTCAAGTGTTGAACAAAGTGTGTACTCTGTTCCCGGGCTCATCACGGGAGGTAGTTAGATCATTCCTAACAGCTGGAACTTTTTTCTGCACATTTTTTTGGTAACAAAGCAGGGGAAGAAGCTGCTGTAAAGAATCTATGAGGTCGCAGAAAGGAGATGAATGAGAAATTGGGAGATCGAAAGGGAGAGTAGGGTAAAGGACCCAACTACTCGAGCTTCTTCTTCTTCTTCCTCCTTTGTCTTTTATACTCCAGTGACAATAAATTTCGAAGTAATGAAAAAGTTATAATAAACATTGACTGCAGAATGAATGATGACAAGTGGGAACTAGCGAAAATTTTGGATTACTAAACCTGCAAGCTTGGGGAGCGATCTCCAGCTTCCATGGCCATTGTTTTGCTTGATATAATTGATAAGAAGCTCATCTTCTTCTGATGTCCACGGCCCTTTCTTTAGCCCCTTATCGCAACAAGGCGCTCTTCCCATCTCACAACTTTCAAAATCAGAGGGACACCACCCTCTTGTGACCAGAGTGAAAGAAAGAACCTAGATCCTTCCCTTGCAAATTTTCAGAGCGAATTACAGAGAGAGGAGGAGGAAAGCCATGCGAAAGGGAAACGTTATCTCAATCAACTAAAATTGAAAGAGGGGAAATTAATGGGTAAGTGGGTCTGAAGGGGAAGGACAAGAATCAGCAAGTTTCAAGCTGGTTCTTGCAATAAATACTGACACGATTGAGCATAGGAAGAATTGAATCATCATTGAAAGTAAAAGTTGTCCCAAAAAAATTGAGGGAGTTAATGCAGAGATTTCTTATTCTGAGGTTTTACAATTTACGCACAATTGATATAAGAAATAGGCGAATAAGGAGAAGAATTAATTGCGGATTCTCACAATGCAGACTAGCATTTATTGAACAGAGAGAGATTTGGGACGCATTTATTATGATGAAAATAACATTCATACTACGGGACATACCATGACAAGACCAGACCTCCAACACTGTTCCCTTGTGGGTCTTTTAAAATTTCCACTTCCCTATTTCAATCTGGTTGCTCCGCAAGTAAAAAAAACAAACCTGATTTCTTGCTGAAACTTCATAGTCATTAAGCTTTCCTGCCTAATTTTAGTAATAAACTCTAAATAGTGAGAAATTTCCCCGAGATTAAGATAAACATGTGTATATATACCTAAAATACACAAATAAATCGACCATACTTTTTTTCCCCAATCTAAAATGGAACAAACTTCGTTGATACACATTCAATTTAAGATCATCTGAAATCTTAATCACTGATAGTAAGCACCAGTATGAACAGAAGACAATATTCACATGATTTCAACAATAATCGAGGTCAAAACGAGTCGAAACTGAATTAGATAAATACAGAAAACAAAACAGAGTTACTTTCATCTAACAGAGCAATCGAAAGTTGTGATAATAAATGCATAGGAAAAAGAGAGATAAAGACAAAATAAAATGTCGTAATATCATTACTCCTTTTAGAAATTAGGTACACGAGTTGAAATTGAACAAAATCAGGGAATGTAAAGCGAGAAAAGCTGAGATTCGAGGGCTTTAGTTTCAAAATCTGCAAGCATTGTTAAATAAAAGCTCTGCCTTATTTAGTTAGGTTTGTAAAAACATATGAGTTCACGCGAATGGAGGAGCGTGATTCTAGGGGCCATTGTTTTGGCAGAGTGGCGGAGTCTTCGTCCACTTATTCTATTTGTGTATATTTGGTTTTTCTATTTTTGTAATTAGATTTATTATTTAAACCATTCAACGGATGTAAAATAATATATTGAGTCTTCAGCATTACCAGCGAATCTCTCTCTCTCTCTCCTTTTACTTCCGCTAATTTTTCCTTCGAAGAAACCTTCGGCCAATTTTTTTTTTTTTTTCGTCGACATCCGATTTGCCAGAGTCAACAAGTGGTATCAGAGCCTGGTTGAAGCGATCGGTAGTATACCATCACAGAGGAGCCAACCTATCAACAAACAAGTTGAATAGCTCAAGTGGTTAGAGCGNTAAGAACGCAGAAATTTAACTCACTGCGAAGCTGAACGATGAGGAAGAAGAAGAAGAAGAAGAAGACACGATCTCTAGTCCATTGAAAGCTTCAACCACAAGCGGAGCAACTCTTGCGATTACTGATTCGAATTTGGCGCCATAAAATCCCAACCAGAAATTGGGTTTTTATTTTCTTTTCTTTTCATTTAAAAAATAATAATAATAATAATTTTTATATTACAATTATGTGACTGCTGACGTGTAAAACGTAGAAAATGTACATAATATTATTTATAATTATTTAGAAGATTAAATCTACCATTAAAATAATTTATATAATCAATTTTTACGTATTAATAAACGCGATAAATATCGTTGTATAAGTCTTTAATTTGTACGTATTATCTCTCGAGTTAGTTTCTTTTTATTTTTTGGGAATAAAAAATAAGTTTTCTAATTAAATTTTTTTTTCCACTATTAATATAGGTCTTATAAAATAGTTCAAAAAATAGGAATGTTAAAAAAAAAATCAATAACTCAAATCAGTTTAAATTAGTGAAAATTTTATAGATTGAGTTGGTGATCAAAGTAACTCCGGTATTATTATCGTGGTCTCTAGGATGTAATGTGTGATCAAGTCTCCTTCAGCATCTGAATAGTCGGGCGTAAAAGCATGGTTCCAACTACCTTATCTGAAGAACGGCGTTAATAGAGTCAACGTATCACTCTCAATCATATGAACGTATTATCTATCGTGGGATGATTTCATAAGTTATATCTAACTCATGCGCCACTTCCCTGAGACGTGACCGTGTTCTATATTGAATGATACTAGAGACCGAGCCTAATTATGTGAGTACGTATATGTTTATATAAAAATATGTCTTTTTGTGTGAGTGTGTGTTGATAAAGTCTAATTTGTTATTGTAAAAGTAGTAATTATTGTTAAGCATGTCGGTATGTTTTTTTCCTAAAGGGTAACGGAAATGGGAGGGTACTTTTTGATTGGATTGGGTTGTCAAGTTGTTTATTTTTAATTATTTTTTAAAAAATCTACTTATCCATAATATACGTTGTATTAATAACTAAAATCTCGTAAATTTCAAACATCAAACATTTACCGATCACAACTAATTATTGATATCGGTGATAAACGTTAAATATTGTTATTTTTTTATTGGAAAAAAAATATGGCCCAACTTAACGTTTATTATTTAGATTAGATAGTCTAAACTCGTGAGGTTATGAGATTTAAACCGAACAAATGAGAAGAAAATTATGAAATGGTAGAAAATTGAAGGTGTAGTAGTTGCTCATATGGATCAAATAACTGCAAGTGACAACGAAGTAAAGAGGATTGATTAAAAATGGAAAATGTTTCAAACTAATGGCAGTCAATACTGAGTCAAAGCTGTCATTTTTGCATTTACTGCCATCCATTTTAATCTAGCTTTCAATTTATTTGACCCAAATAAAAAAAAAATGATGTTTTGATGGGTGGTACAAGGTACAAGTCAATATGACGACCGAAGGTACGATGTTCGATTGTTTTTAGCATACGATATGAACTTAGTTGAGTAAGCGATGTTGTGATATTGCCTCCCAGCCTTGGTCGGGCTCGAGGTTGATTGGCGCTGCGGTAGCAAAACGTGCACAACAAGATGGGGCCAAATATAGTACGAACCTCATTGTGTATGAAATGTTTTTGTATATTTTCATTCATTAATTAAAATCAATAGATTTAAGAATGTAAATATGACCCAATAACCCCATCAAACTAGACTAACGAACCAATATATATATATATAATTCAGTTCAATTTTAGGGTTTCATCAACTCTCGAGAAAGGGTAGAAGAATGGGATCTATTATGGGACATACAATGCGTCAACCGGGTTATGCTATTCCAGCTCTTAGAAAGAAAAAAACTTAAATCAAAATACTTAATAGCATACATTTATACAAAACTTCTACCCCGAGCACACCCAATGGAGCCATATACATTCGATTTTTTTTTTGTCATATCAATCAAACCAATCCCAAAATAAGGTTACAACTAAACTCTGCCCTACTTTACTTTCACACAAATTAAGATTACTTACCTTTATAATTAATGATATTTGAATTTTATGAAATTTTAATCGGTAATAAATATTATAAATAATTTTTTAACATAATTAAAAAAAAAAAAAACTAACGTGAAAATTGTGTTTTTTTTTTTTTTTTTTNCACAACAAGATGGGGCCAAATATAGTACGAACCTCATTGTGTATGAAATGTTTTTGTATATTTTCATTTATTAATTAAAATCAATAGATTTAAGAATGTAAATATGACCCAATAACCCCATCAAACTAGACTAACGAACCAACAAATATATATATTTTATAATTTAGTTGAATTAAAATTTTAGAAAATCAAATATTCAGTTCAATTTTAGGGTTTCATCAACTCTCGAGAAAGGGTAGAAGAATGAGATCTATTATGGGACATACAATGCGTCAACCGGGTTATGCTATTCCACCTCCTAGGAAGAAAAAAACTTAAATCAAAATACTTAATAGCATACATTTATACAAAACTTCTACCCCGAGCACACCCAATGGAGCCATATACATTCAATTTTTTTTTTTTGTCATATCAATCAAACCAATCCCAAAATATGGTTACAACTAAACTCTGCCTACTTTACTTTTACAAAAATTAAGATTACTTACATTTATAACTAATATTAATGTTAATTGATATTTGAATTTTATGAAATTTTAATCAGTAATAAATATTATAAATAATTTTTTAATATAATTATAAAAAAAACTTAACGTGAAAATTGTGTTTTTTTTTTTTTTTTGACCGTACGTTAATAAAAATAAACAAAAGATAAAAATTTGAATAATAAATTCAGCACCCAGACAGCTCTGTCTGGTTAGTTTGGTTGTGTGAGAGAAAAGCTCAGCTTTTCTTGTAGTGTTCCTGTCGCCGGCACCCTACTAAAGCAGCAGCAACAGTATGGTAAGGGGAAGGGGCTGCTGCTTCAACATCTGTGAGAGAAAAAACATTAATGTAACTTAACCAACTAGAGTCACTATCGTTATCATAACGTAATCATCTCTATGTGAAAATAAAAATGAAATGATTACGCTATAATAACGCTAGCGACTTTAGATAAGTAGAAACCTAGGATCGTTACAATTAAAATCTCCAAAGCTTGGATGAGGCCCTGTGTTTCTTCACATTTCACTGAAGTTGCAAAGATTAAGGCCCGACCTGCACGCACTTAAACCATAGCCAATTTACAAGTAAGCAGGGCGCAGAGAGCAGTAAAAACATAAAAGCAAATCTGTCCATTGAACACTT